AGATTATTTAAGAAATTGTGTGATCAATAAAATGTGGGGGGAAAAGGAATGGAAGACAACTGTAGACACCAGAGATAGTGTGAGAAGAGGGTGGGAAAGGGCAGAGGGTCATACATTTATGTATATGTATACATATATATATATGAAACTAGAAATGGAAAAAAAATTTTTTTAGAGTTTTTTGCTATAGGGTGTGTGTGCTCTCCAGAAAGACAGAGAAAGAGAGAGAGAGAGATATACAAAGCGAGAAACCACCACCACCACCACCACCCCAGGGTGGATGGCCACGCCGCAATCCCTTCTCCTCCATTCTCCTCTTGGGATCTTGGGCACACATGCACACGCGCCCAGCGTGAGTTTTAAGCTACCGGGTCCGGGACACGAACCGTAGTCGACTATGTGGGAGTCCAGCGACATAGCCATTACGCTAACTGCTGGTCCCGTAAATTAATTAATTTTTAAAAAAGTTTCAGGAGAAAAGAAAAACGAAAACTGCTTTTCTTGAAATTAAAAAAAATGCATTAAAAATACCTATTTGAGGGACCAGCTAAATAACTTAATTATGCTACTTTATAGTATGTTCATTCTTTTTTAAAATTATTTTTATTTAACTTTGACCAGAGAGGGACAGAGCGAGCGAGAGCGAAAGAGAGAGGGAAAGTGAGAAAGCAAGCTGCCAGGTCCAGGACTTGAACTGTGGTCAGCCATGTGGGAATCCAACACCCTTAACCACCACGCCACCTGCTGGCCACAGTATGTTCCTATTACTCACTGAGGTTTATGCCTACAGTCAGACTTGTGTTCATGGATATGTATATATCAGCTGCACTTGCTACTGAAAATATTTAGATTAATTAAATTATTTAGCGAGTCAATAAAATGGGGGGAAGGCATAGAAAACAATCATGGATACCAGAGACAGTGTGGGAGGACGGTGGGACATGGCAGGGGGTGAGAGAGAGGGAATCAAGGATGGGAAAAAAGCGAAGTATACAGGAAATGAGAAATGGAAAATAATTTGTTGACAATAACACGTATGCTGATATGCTTGATTGAGCCAATATATAGTGTATTCTGGATGGAAAATGTCATTTTGTATGTTGTAATAATGTATAGTGAATTAATGTAAATAAATAAATTTAAATAAATTTTTTTAAAAAGATGGGACCAGCAGTTAGAGTAATGGCTATGTTGCTGGACTCCTATGTAGTCGACCATGGTTTGAGACCCGGATTCAGTGGCTTAAACTCAGACCAGGTGCATGTGTGTGCAAGATCCCAAGAGGAGAATGGAGGAAAAGGGACTGCGGCGTGGCCATTCCCCCCAGGGGTGATTTCTCACTTTCTGTCTCTCTGTCTGTCTGGCGAGCACACACGCCCTATAGCAAAAACCTCTCCAAAAAAAGAATAAAAGACCATCCTGGAGAAATTTGCTAGCAAGCACACCAGGAGGTCCAGAAGATTCCTGAGTTTTGAGTGCAGTTCAAGGCTGTGTGCAACCATTGGGGTGGATCCTCTGGCCTCTGGAAAAAGACTTTGGTCTGAGATGCTGGGAGTTGGGGACTTCTATTATGAGCTGGGTGTCTAGACGGTGGAAGTGTGCCTGGCCCTGAAGCTCTGGAATGGAGGACTGATAACGTTGGAGGAGGGCAAGTTTGCTCAGGATGCCAGTCAAGGTGACCTGATCAGAGCTGCTTGGAAACTGAAGGCACTCGGCATCGGCCTGGCCTCATCCCTGTGGGTGGCACTTACCTCATCAGCCTGTCCCGCTTGAGCTCAGTATGGGTCTCACTGTAGTGCTGCAGCTGGCAGGGAAGAATGGCCACATGACTGTCAGTAAACTCTAAGATAGTCTCTTTTTTTTAATTTGTTTAATTTAAGTTTATTTATTATTTATTTTTTAAATTTGACCAGAGAGGGATGGAGGGAGAGCGTGAAAGAGAAAGCAAGCTGCCAGGTCTGGGACTCAAACCGCAGTCAGCCATGTGGGAGTCCAGTGCCCTTAACCACCATGCCACCTGCCAGCCCCTCTAAGCTAGTCTTAAATGGGATACTGGGTGAGCTCAGCATGTGCTGGAACACCTGCAGAAGGAAAGGCTGGCCTGCTGGACCTGCAGGCCGCAGGGGAGGCCCACTACTGGCTGCCGGCCCTCTTCACTAACCTCTAAGGAGATTGCAGCTGAGGAGGCCAGAGAAGTCTCCCCTACTCAGTGTGGAAGGGCACATGGCAGCAGGCAGGGAGAAGAGGGAGGGCCTACTGGTGAATAAACCCAGACAATTGTGTTTATATAAAATAGAAAAAAGAAATAAATAAAAAGAAATAGAGCAGAAAGGGTTGCACCATGGCCAGGCACCACTGTAGGGGGTGCTTTCTCCCCCTCTTTCTCTGCGTCTTTCTGGTACATGGACATACTCTCTGGCAGTTTAAAAAAAAAAAGATTGTTCCCAATCAAAGGACAGCCGTAACAACCAAGGCGCAGTGGTAACATGAGTGTCCCGAATGCTGGAATCTCCAGGGTTCTGAGGGTAGAGGACTAGGGAAAGGGGTTTAAGTCCTGATGAAGCTATGGAGGTTGGTTCTCTGCATCTCTCTGTCTCTCACATGTGTACATGTATACGCTGTCATTAAAAAAAAAAAGGTTAGGGACCAGCAGTTAGCGTAATGGCTATGTCGCTGGACTCCCATGTAGCCAACCATGGTTCGAGTCCCAGACCCTGGCTTAAACTCACCGGGCGCGTGTGTGTGCGTGCCCAAGATCCCGAGAGGAGAATGGAGGAGAAGGGATTGCAGCGTGGCCATCCCCCCTGGGAGGTGATTTCTCACTTTCTGTCTCTCTGTCTTTCTGGTGAGCATACATGCCCTATAGCAAGAACCCCTCCAAAAAAAGAAAAAAAAAAGGTTATTCACGATCAAATTAAAGAAAAAGTGTGCATTTGCTGGTGCTTAGTTCATCAGGTAGAGCACAGTGGGAGCAACACCCCCTTGCTGGACACCAGCAACTGCTTGGAAATTGACATCCAGCACTTTGCTCTGTCCTCGTGGCAGCCCTCAGGTGGGCATTATTTTCCTAGATGCGACTCCGGAGGTCCACAGAGGTTTAGGGATCGGCTCAAAGTCACACAACTAAAAAGTGATGGACCAGGGCCAGATGCCAGGCTGGTGATGCCACCTCCTCTGTCTGCCACCAGGACACCAGGCTGCTCAACAGTGTGGCAGCATGAGTCTTGTCAGGCTAAGCTGGCTAAGGCCCAAGGACATGACACAACTGAGGCCCTTCCCACCGTCACACCTCGCACCCGCCACTGCGATGGGTGTCCTGGCCAGCGGGACCACGTGGCTGAGATCTGCAACCTTAGCAAGGCAGGGGCCCAGCTCGCCGTGGCTCTGGCCACACAATTGGCCCAGCATGTCCACAGGAATAAAGAAGGACTTTGGAGTCACACAGACCTGGGCTCTGTCCTCTCTTGGCAGGACGGTCTTCAGAAAGTCAACTCACTTCCTTCGTTCCACAAAATAAGAATGTGGCCTCACAGAGAAGCTCTCAGGGTTGGAGTGGAACTGATGCATAGTAGGTACTCAGTAGATGGCTGCCATATTTCACAGTCATTCCGTAAGGACTTCTCCACAAACTCAGCCTTTCAGGAGCTGAGGGCATCCAGACTGCGGTCAGGTGATTCTGAAGGACCCTATTCCTGCAGAGCCCCCAGACCTAGAGTCAGAGGCTGGGGCCGCCTAGGCTGCACAGAGGGCAAAGTCCCCCAGCCTCCCAGGGTCCTGGCTCCCTTCCCTGCAGCCTGCTCCTTCCCAACCAGAGGAGCAAAGCACCAAGGTTAGACAAACAAGCTGCGATAAGGCACTTCCAGGCTGGGCCTTGCATTCAAGGCCTGTCCAGCTCTGGGCTGGCTGCCCAGCTTAGAGAGCCCTGGCCTGCTGCACGCACAGCCATGGGCACCAGGAGGGCCACCTGCCATAGCCACCTGCTGATCGTGCACTTGAGACCTTGGTGCCCTGGTACGGCCTGGGTTAATGACCCTGTTTATTCACTTGAGTCACTCGATAAGGGCCAGTTGGGCAGGTGGCAGGCGGCCCTGCGCTCTGCACCAGCCGCTTCATTGACTGAAGTGATATCAGTGCCACGTGGCGCTACCAGAGCCCCTCCCCCACCACTTCCCCACCAGCTCTGCCAGGGTCAGCCCATGCGCTGTTGTTTTTTTCAATGAACATGACTCTGGAGTCAAGGTTGTCAGGCCATTCCTCCCGCCCGCCCTTGGAGGATATAAATAGCACCTGCAGCAGAGCAGAAGGCCACAGAGCTGGGAGGAAGTAGAAGCAGATCCTCAACCATGAGTTCCAGCCTACCAGAGGTCTGCCCATGCCAGGGCGCTCTAGGCCGCCCGGCCATTCTGTACGCACTGCTCAGCCCCAGCGCCAGGGCCAGGCCCTCTGTGCCTTCTCCCCGCAGCCGCTGCCTATGCAGGCAGCACCGGCCCGTCCGCCTGTGTGCCCCTCACCGCACCTGCCGGGAGGCCCTGGACGTTCTGGCCAAGACGGTGGCCTTCCTCAGGAACCTGCCATCCTTCTGCCAACTGATGCCCCAGGATCAGCGGCGGCTGCTGCAAGGCGGCTGGGGCCCTCTCTTCCTGCTGGGGTTAGCCCAAGACACTGTGACCTTTGAGGTGGCTGAGGCCCCAGTGCCCAGCATACTCAAGAAGATCCTGCTGGAGGAGCCCAGTGGCAGCAGAGGCAGAGGCCTGCCTGACAGACCTCTGCCCTCACTGGCCGCCGTGCAGCGGCTCCAGTGCTGTCTGGAATCCTTCTGGAATCTGGAGTTGAGCCCCAAGGAATATGCCTACCTGAAAGGAACTGTTCTCTTCAACCCTGGTGAGCTCCTGGACACTTCAGTGGGGGCCGAGGCTGGGAGGGGGACCAGCTAGAGAAGGTCCCTTCCGAGGGCGTGACATTCGTTGTCTCAGAGTCCTCGTTTCCATCAAATAGCCATTTCACAGAAGATGTGCCGAGAGGCTGAGCAGCGAGCGTCAGGTCACACGGGCAGGGACAGAGTGGGGATGGGGACTCAGGACTATGCACTCAGGACACGGCCCTTGCCACTCGGTCTGAGAAATGTGCCCTGAGCCCTGGGACAGCAGGAGTGTGGCAGGAGGGGCAACGCAGGTGAAACTGCTGTGAAGGGTCACATATAGGAGAGGGATGAAGGGCGTGGGGAGGCCAGGGAGGGAGGTGCTGCGAAGTTCGGCCGGGGAGCCACGGAGGACCGTAGACGAGCATGCTTCGTAATGTGGAGAGGATCTGAGACGGGAGTCCCTCACAGAAGCCCTCCATGTGTGGGCAAATGCAGTCCCGACTGCCGTAATCCATGCCGGCCTAGTGAACACTCGCACCGCACTTACCTTACGGGGGCTCGTCGTCTAGGCTTTCACGTGTACGAGCTCACGTGAACCTCGCACAAGCCTAGGCGATAGCTCACCCACGGAGACACCGAGGCCCAGCGATGACGGCCACCCTTACTAGGCAGCGACAAAGTCACCCGGCTCACAGTGACAGTGCTGGGGTTCAGCTCCAGCCAGCCCCTACTCTCCCTTACAACACATTGCCTCTCCATAGGTAAGTAGATAAACAGAATGATGAAGAGTCAATGAAGAAGGGAGTGGTGGAGCCTCCAGGCTTCGCTGCAGACCTCCGATCTGGGACCAGTCTCACCCATTGGTGGCTGGGAGCGGGACACTCACCAGCCCTGTTTGTCCTCTCTGTCCACAGACGTGCCAGGCCTCCATGCCTCTGCCCACATTGGGTACCTACAGCAGGAGGCTCACTGGGCACTATGTGACATCCTGGAGCCCTGGTGCCCAGCAGGCCAAGCTCGTTTGGCCCGTGTCCTCCTCACTGCCTCCACCCTCAAGTCCATTCCGACCAGCCTGCTTAGCGACCTCTTCTTTCTCCCTATCATCGGGGACGTCGACATCGTGGGCCTTCTCGAAGACATGCTTTTGCTGAGGTGACCTGCTCTGGTCAGGCCGAGATCAGCTGGAGACGGCAGAGGCTGGCAGTGCTGATGGAGCCTGGCTGCACCCAGAGATGGCCCCAGGCTCCCAAAGGGGTGAGCCCATACTGACAGCACCTGGTTCCCAGGAGCAGCCCCAGTTCAGCCACAGCTGTCCGACTTCCCTGGGCTGCTCCGGGTGCCTCAGCTGTCTGACAGGCCCTTGGTGGTCCCCAGAACATTTGGGCCAAGACTGCTATCCCCTCTTGGAACAGGGATGGAACCTTGACTGGTCATTGGGCCAGAAGTCCTACTGACCTTGTACAGAACTGAAATAAGTTATTGGTTTTTGTAATAAAAGGTGTGACACTGTTGGAGCTGGACACTATAGTTTGTGTGTGCAGAAGGGACGATCTCCCCTCCAGGGCCCATCCTGCTTCTGTCGGAGGGATTCCACAGGGAAGGAGCCCATTAGAGAAGCAGGAGCCAGGCCTCAGGAAACTGAGGTATTAACTTTTCAGAGTGGGATGGTGATTCATTTCTGGGGATGAGGCTTATTCTGCATCTGGGCCTGAGTCCAGCCGTTGGTTTCAGTTCACAACTCTGTCACGCTTCACCATTATTCTTCGGGGAAGAGAGTTTCTCTCCCTGTCCCCAAAACCTCCACTAACACCTCCCCTGGCTCCCCCCACCCACCCCTACAGGCTCGCTCTCACTTCAGTGAAAATCAGATCACAGCTGGTCAGGAAGGAGCCCATTCCCAAATTAAGGTAGAGGGTCAGCAGGGCCGGCTGGTGGTGTGGTGCTAAGGCGTCTGGACCCCATGCGGCCCACTGCACTACTAGAGTCCTGGACTCGGTGGCTCGAAAAACATGCCAGGTGCGTGTGTGTGCATGCCCAAAATCCTGAGAGAAGAGTGGAGGAGAAGGATTGCGGTGTGGTCATCCCCCTTCTCTCTCTCTCTCTCTCTGGTGAGCACATGTGCCTTATAATAAACTTTTTTTTTTTTTTAAAGCAGGCAAGGTCATTGCAATCTCTGCAGTTGGGATCACTCATGTCCCCCGTTCCTGCAGCTGTCACAACTCTCCCAACGGGAGGGAAGGGGCGCCCAGGACTGGCCTGCCAGCAGTTTGGAGGTCAAGGCAGGCTGAGGGTCAGCTTCCCACAACAGAATGACCCATCAGTTGCTCACGTCTGAAACATGATAGGTTCACAGCCACTGCCCTGAGCCCCTGGGCTCCCTTTCACCACCCCTGTGCCCCAGGGCCTCTCCAGTGACCCTCTTCCCAGCTATCCCATAGCCTGGCAATCCGAGAGGCAGTGAATGCTCCACCCAGCCCCAGCTCCATTCAGAGCACAGCTTGCGTCTCTTCTGATTGGTCGGTAGGTACTGTGCCTCCGTGTTTGCTAAATATTTTGACCCAGTCACCCTGGGCCGAGGTGACTGACCTCAGGGTGGACAGCAGAGAGTGATAACAGCACACAAGCCTATAGGACTTTCAGACGTCCCTCCTCCAGCAATGAGGCTGGCCCAGAGCAGCCCCACCCCCTCCCCACCACAGTCTGGATTCTTCTCACGGGGGCCAAGTTAATTATTGCCCAAAGGAGGTCATTCACTTGGGGACAACAGTTTAGTAGTCACTATTCAGGCCTTCCTCTAAGGCCCCTAGGTTAAGACCATGGCTGAACTGGCCATGTACCTGTTGTGGGCACCCAGTGCCAACGGCAAGGAAACCCTGTCCCTCAGTCCTCACGACAAAGACAGGTACAACTCAGACCACACACACAGAAAAACGCAGCTCATGGGGCCAGCAGGTGACATGGTGGTAAAGGTGCTGGACACTCCCACATGGCCAACCACAGTTCTAATCCCAAACCTGGTGGCTTGCTTTCCCACTCCTCCCACCCCCCACTGTGTCTTTCTCTGGTCAAATTAGAATAAATAAAATTAATTACTAGAAAAAAAAAGAAAGGAAAAACACAGCTCAGACTCACTCATTCAGCAATGACTGGCAGACACAGACAAGTTCACACAGCAGAGACACGCTGTCAGCCAGATGGCCCACAGCTGCCCTGTCACCTGCAGGACACACAGCACAGAGACGCCTCGCCCCAGGGCAGTCTTCCATCCTCTGTGTGTCACAGAGAGGGGAAAGAGGCCCTTGGCCCTTGCAGTAGCCAGACTTGCTGTGTCTCTCTCTCCTTCTCCAGGTGAGCATACATGCCCTAAGGCAAAAAAAACTCTAAAAAATAAACAAACCAAAGATACAAAGTAACAGAAAAACTGCAGAAGCCTTGAATCCCTTACAGGACCCAGATCCTGCAGATTCAAGGATCTGGGGTCATTCCATATCTTTCACTTTTTTGTTTTTAAGTTTTTACCATAGGGAACATGCACTCACCCGAGAGAGACAGAAAACGAGCGAGGGAAAGTGAGAAGTCACCCCCGGGGGAATGGCCATGCCACAAACCTTCCCCTCCTTTCTCCTCTCAGGATTTGGGCGCACACGCTCGCCTGGCACGATTCTCAAGCTGCCAAGTTCAGGACTCGAACTCTGGTTGGCCACGTGAGAGTGCAGCGCCTTTACTGCCTCGCCACTGCTGGCCCTGATTCCGAGTCTTTTATGCCCATCCACTAACTGCCTCTCTGGATCACCGGGCTGAGCATTCTACCTCTCACCTCCCTCCCAGTTCAACCAAACATTAGGAAGTATTTCTCTCCTTGTCTTCCCCCTTCCCACATCTTTTCTCCTCAACCTTTATTTTTTCATGACCCAAAGAGCTTCCCTTATGAGCAATTCTTTGCTCCCACACAGATTTCTCCCTACCTCTCTGTATGGTCGGGAAGCTACTTCCTGTTTCTTGACTGTTTCTCCAATCATCCCTGTGCCGTACCTCCAAGCATTGTAAGAGGAACTTAAAGACGAACACAAGGCCGACAGAGGTTCGAGTCCCAGACCTCATGGCTTGAAATGCTGGGCACATGTGCGTACATGCCCAAGATCCAAGGAGGAGAATGCAGAAGGGACTGTCCAAGCCCCCTGGGGGTGTTGACGGCTCACTTTCCCTCTCACTGTCTCTGTCTCTCTCTCCGGGGCAAGCACATACACCCTAAGGAAAAACAAACAAAAAACCCTTTAAAAAAATACTTGCACAATATGACAAGGTCAATAATGCTCCCTCCATGAGACTGCAGGCTTTCCACAGGCAGCGTCAGCAACCTGGGGGGACACCTGCGTCCATTTGCAGGGAGGGAAGAGGAACAGGCTAAGACGGCGTGCAACCTGTGCGAGGTCTGGGCCCGTCAGTCTGTGCTGGGACGTGAACTCAGACCTGTGTGGTTCTGGAGGCCAGTTCTCACCCCACACAGGACGGAGTGAGTCATGGCCAGGATCGAGTTGTCTGCAGCCAGCTTGGTCAGTTCATGACCATCTCCCTCTCAGCCCTGATCCCTGTCCTCCCGATGACTCACTGGAAAGCAGGAGAGTGGGTCAGCCTGGGATACATTTTATGGCTTCATTATCTCTGTTTCATTAGCCAAGTCATCAACTGCTTATTAAGCAGTCAGGTGGCTGACGCAGGCTGTGCCCTGCACTGAGCCTCCCTGCCCTGGGGCACTTGCACATCACAGAACTTCTGACACCCTCAGACAGCCAGCACCCCCATCCATCCATTTGTTCACACCATCGCTCAACATCCCTGAGGTCCACTTGTACCAGACCCCGCACTAGATGCCAGGGGCAGGAGCACAGAGCAAACAAGGTCCAGCCCTTGCAGGGCCAGCAGGTGAAGTGGTGGTTAGGGCACTAGACTCCCACATGGCTAACTGCAGTTTGAGTCCTGGACCTAGCAGCTTGCTTTCTCACTTTCTCTCTCTCTTTGTCTCTCTCTGGCCAAATCATCATCATCATCATAATTCATTTAGTAAATTTAATTTTAACAAAAGACATAGCCCTTTCCCTCATGAAACATCCTGTCTATGGCAGCGGAAGATACCTAAGTACTTGTGACACAGAGAGCTCTGAGCTGCTGCAGATGGCCCACAGCAGGCAGCAGGAGTGACTATATCCTTTGCCTAGAAGTGAGGAAAATGCTTTACCCAAGTGGTGGCTGGTCTGAGCGAAAGAGAATGAATAAGGGTCTGCTTGGCAACCCAAAGGGTGAGCACTCAAAAGGCAGAAGGGACCAGAGAGCAAGGGGCTCCTTACTAATTGCAAATGGTCTGAGGATGTGAGACCCAGTGCCGTTGCTGATGGGCTTGGACAGGTGACAGGGACTAATCACAGAACAAGAGAGAAGAGAAAGGAAACCTTAATAAAACTGGGGGAGGTGATTGGGAGGATCAGAGTTAACAAAGGAGACTCCCATCCCTGGAGGGTATGGAAACCCAGGGCTGCGGCTGCTCAGTCTGGGCGGCTACTAAATAATGGCCAGCCAGCGTTTCCTGAGAGCTGTGCTCCAAACCTGCTCCAAGATTATGTTACTTACGCCCCACAACAACTGCGCTGTTAGAACCTTCATTATCTCCTTTTGTAGATGAAGACACCGAGGTACGGAGACACTCGGTAAAGTGCTCAAGGTCACACAGCTAAGAGGTAGCAGAGCTAGGATTTGAACTCAGATGGCCTGTCATCAGAGCCCCTCCTCCTAAACACTATACTATCTTGCATCTTTTTTTTTTTTTAATATTCATTCTTTTACCATTAAGTTTGATGTCAGGAGTTGGTTTTTCTTTTCTTTTATCTTTTTTTAAAGAATTATTTTATTTTATTTTTTAAGAATTACTTATTTTATTGTTCATTATTATTTTTAATTTGACTGGAGAGAGACACAGAGAGAAAGAGAAAGTGAGAAAGCAAGCCACCAGATCTGGAACTCGAACCATGGTCAGCCGTGTGGAAGTCCAGCACCTCGATCACTATGCCACCTGCCAGCTGCAAGAACTATTTTATTTACTGTATTTATTTATTTATTTTTACATTTTTGACCAGAGAGGGACAGAATGAAAGCAAGAGAGAGAGAAAGTGAGAAAGCAAGCCTCCAGGTCCAGGACTTGAACCACAGTCCAGCACCTTAACCACCATGCCACCTACTGGCCCCAACCTTGTGTCTTTTTTTATAATTCTTTTTTTTTAAAGAATTGTTTTTATTGTTTGTTCATTTATTTTCATTTGACCAGAGAGGGACAGAGTGAGAGAGAAAGAGAGGGAAAGTGAGAATGCAAGCCACCAAGTCGGGGACTCAAACCGCGATCGGCCATGTGGGAGTCCAGCGCCCTTAGCCACCACACCACCTGCCACCCCCACCTCCCAAAGTTGTGGCTTAAAGTCACAGAACTTATTTTTCAATTTCCAGATTGTTTAAATGTGTTTCTCTCTTAGAG